TTGCTTGTATCCTTACAATTTATATTGATTGTTTCCTAATATGATTTGATTGCTTATTTGTACCCTATGACTATCATTATTTTACCTTATTATTCTTGACAAATGTATCTTTTCTTTTATGTACACCGAGAGCACATGCACCAAAGACAAATTTCTTGTGTGTCCAATCACTCTTGGCCAATAGAGAATTCTATTCTATTCTATCCCATCAAGGAAGATGTTTAAGACCATGAGATCAAAGACTTGTCTTGGCCAAAAAAATTGCCATGTTTTGAATTAGTTGAAAATTCTTGGTTGTTTTTTAAAAAAAGATCCTCTTTTTTCTGGCTTGGTCCTGTGTCATACAGTAATATGGTAACATATGTAGTAATATGCACATGTTTAGTGGTATATAAATGTTTTAATAAAATAAACAAATACATTAGGACACTTTTGCTGGACTAAAGCACATTATCTACTAAAAAAAAAAATTACCTCCAGAGCTTTCATATATGCTCCGACATCCAGTTTTAGTCCATCTGTTTCTTTATAATAGCGTCTGAAATTGAAAATATGCAGATTTAAAGTGTAATCCAGAGAGTTAGCAATTGTTCCAAATTCCCTGTTACTACTACATATTCTTAGCAATATTATCTTCTCTTACTATAAATGGCTTTGATCATAGCACATATCACTGACAGAATCAAACCAGCATTGCAAAAAGCCTTGGACTCGCTATCTAAGCTGGCAAACTCACTCTAATCGCAATTTCTTTGCAAATGCTAAGGGGGGGACTTATTCCAAATAACTATGTTTGGTGATGAAGAAGCTCAGCAGCTGACTTTCTTTAGCAAACGTTCAAAATATGACTCAGTAGATCCCTTTCTTTTCTACCTTTTATTAGAACAATAAAAAGGGAGAACTGTACAATTCAAGTGTTTTTTAACGTTCCTAAACAAATAGGTAAGGAGCAAAAATGCATAGGATGAGCAGTCAGATAAGATTTTATGCTATATCCTTCTGCCATTTTCGATTAATCAGCAAAGCCTCTCTTTAAAGTGACCGCTTGACCTCTGCTAGAACAGCCATTAACCTTCTATAGTCTAGCGTAAACAGCTTAATTTTCTGACAGTGGCATGACAGAGGAAATTACAAAGCCAATTCCCACTTTCAACCCAAAACAGATGCTAAATGTAAATCACTCCATTTTCACAAGGACAGCATTCTGCTCCAGTCAAGAGCATACACTAAAACTTTAGAGGAAAGAATTCTGCGTTTTTTTCCCCTAAAGCAAGTTAAAGAAATGAACATTATTAACACTTATACTTTACATAATATTAGTAACTCATGAGAAAAGTGGCTGAGAGGGCATTGATTGGAAGGCAAAATCCACACCACCGGCACTCGCAACTCAATCACAGTTGTGATCTGTATAAGATCTTACAAGAGAAAGCTGAATTATGAAATATATTCCACTTAGTATGCTTGACACAGTTCACCACCAACATGATTCCTACTTTCTTCTTACATCTCTGTATGAAGCAATAAGTAGAAGTACAGCTGGTACATGGTACAGCTAACATAAAGATATAAGAATATCAGTGAGATTTAATATACTGTACCAGGGGTGGGTTTCTCGCCCTGTTCCAACCGGTTCGGTTGGAACGGGGCCGGCGGCGTCCTCGTGCACGCGCGCAGTGCATGCATGCATACTAGTGTCTGTGCGATGCTCCAGCTGTACTTCTACTTATTGCTTCATACAGAGATGTAAGAAGAAAGTA